CTGTGGGCAAATCACTTAACCTCTATTTGCCTCAGTCTCCTCAACTGTAAAGGGGAGATAATAACAGAACCTGCTTTGAAAGTTTGTTGTGAGGATCAAATGAGACAATATAGGTAAAGGGTTTAGCACAGTACCTGGCATATAGTAGGCTCTATATAAATGCTTGTTTCTTTCTCCTTGTAGTTCTGCATATAAAGAAATATTTGTTAAATTTACCTTATTTACCTCACTCTATTCCCTTAGATTGATCTAATGCAATGTGCATTAGAAAGTGGATTGACTTTCTTATGGAGTAAAGATCTACTCTTAGGCTAAGAATTTATTTGGAATCCTGGAATTAGGAAGTAGCTTAGTAACACCAGGAAGGAATGTCTAACCTACTCTGAAGGCTGGGCAAGATGTTGGGAAGACTTCTCATAATAAAAGGTGACACTGAAGTGAGCAGAACCAGGAGAACATGGTACACAGAACAGCAATACTATACAATAAAGAACTGTGAATGACTTAGCTCTTCTCAGCAATACAATGATCCAGAATTCCAAAGGACTCGTGATGAAGCATGCTATCTGCCTCTAGACTGAAGCATGCCATTTTTCACTTTTTCTTTCATTCTTTTTTTATTTGTGTCTTCTTGTACAAAATGACTAATATGGAAATATTTTACATGATTACACATGTATAAACTATATCTGATTGCAGATATTGCAGAGAAGGGGGAGGGGAAAGAGGTTAGGGAATGATATAATTTAGAACTATTTTTTTTTTTAGGCAACTGGGGTTAAGTGACTTGCCCAGGGTCACACAGCTAATAAATGTCAAGTGTTTGTTCTGAGGTCACATTTGAACACAGGTCCTCCTGACTTCAGGGCTGGTACTCTATCCACTGCGCCACCTAGCTGCCCCTAGAACTCAACTTTTAAAAAATGTTCAAAAAATTTTTAACATGCAATTACAGGGAAAAAAAGAAAATCTTATATATATATATAATGAAAGGTGACAATAAGTATCATGTGATCCTTACAACAATCTGGTGAAATAGGTAGTCTGTTTTGGAAAGTTCATGCCAGGAATCCCAGGAATCAAAGTTAAAAGTACCAAGCAGTTTAGCACTTAACCCTTCAATGCATATTAATTTCCTTGTGTAAATGACACAAGGACTATATCTTATGTTTCTTTCATGTCCTTCACAGTTCCTAGTAGCACTGGGTGCACAGCAAGCCCTTTTTAAATAGCTTCTCAATCAATCAATTGATGCACACAGTCACCACTCTGTTCCTTAGCTCCACCTGAGTAGAACAGACTTATTTTCAGTAAATTGTACTGTCTGAGAGAGTAACAGAAAGAATGTATAGTACAACAAAACCAAAGTGTATTTTCAATATGAATAAAACTGACATTGAAAATAAAAACACTATTTCATATTTTCTGTAGTTTGGAAAAATCACTACATAACTTTCTTTCATCCAAAATTCCTCTAAACATACGATGCAACATGGTAGATTAGAGAGAACAGCACCATGCTGGTATGCAATGTCTTACAGATTAGAAGCGATTACACTATGCCAGAAAAGTCAACATTATAACTGAACCATAGCAAAGATAACTTTTCCTAGGGACACAAACAAAACTTGCCCTCTGCACTGTTTAGGAAGTAGTACATTTACAAAACAAAGCAAGCTTGGCATCTAACATATTTTCCATAGGGTCTTTGGAGAGACAAGATTTGTTTGCATACAGTCATGAATAGCTTTAGTTTCTTTTCCCTTTTTAAAATTAAAAATACATCTCCCAGAGGCAACAGTGGAAGTGACAGTGAAGCCAAAGGAGGTCTTTATCAAAGAACTTGCATTCTGTTTCCATACAAGATAATGAACAGAGACAACTAATATTCAAGGATTTAATACTAGGGTGGGAAGAAATAAAATAGCCATTCCCACAGCTTGGTAAATTTAGCTAAATCATCATTGTAAGAGCCTTTGTTTTCGTCATGGCTAGATGTAGAGATAGTCGCCAAGAGACACCAAAGGCTAAAACAAGCTCTTCTAGCTTTTCAGGAAAAGGAAGAGGCTCTTCAGTGTGGCAATCCTTTCCCCCAGAGGCCCAGGGAATCTGAAAGTTGTCAGTTTTCAGGCTGGCGGGCCAAACTGGATCCTACCTATCCTTGTAAACTCTGGGAAGACTTCCTTAAGACTCTTATCATGATTTCACCCTCTTCAGCTCAAGGGAAATGTCTGTTTGCCAAAAGATGTTTGCCACTGTCGTGAAGAACGTTCTGCACAAGACAATGGCAAAGGGATCCCCTAAAAACGGTGAGATTCTCCAGATGATAACTGCACTGATTGTATGAAGCCCTAGAACACGGGTCAGCTAATTCCAGTCTGTGGGCTGCTGCTGTTGTTTTACAGCCCCAAGCCAAGAATGGTTTTTATATTGGTAAAGTTTTATTTAAAGGTGAAGACACCATTCTCGGTTCAAAGCCACACAACAGGTGATGCAGGTGGTGGTTTATTTGCTGACCACTGGCCCTAGAATACTATAGGGCCTCCTCAATGAGATCCACAGCTACTTAAAAGAGGCAGGTCTAATAATCCATACAGAAAATACTAAATTGATGCACAATGCCTACCATACAGACTTTGCAGGACATGCAGTTGGATGGTCAGTCCACTGAGTTAATATATCAGTATATATATCTGGGTCAGGCATAAGGACAATACCTGAGTCCAGAACTGAAAAGGAAAGTAGAGACTGGATCTGTGATTTCACTGACAGAGTGAAATCTGAACTCTGAAATGAAGTAACTTTCTCTATCTCTCCTGGCTGGCACCTTCTCTGCAGCTTACAGTCTTAGAGAACTGCCTAGTCAGTAAACCATGATCGAAGGCCAAATCACTGTACATATTTGTACAACAAATGTAAAAACTATTCTCAGCTTGTGGGCAGTACAAAACCAGTTGGCAGGTGTTGGTTAGAGTTTGTTGACCCTTAGCCTAGGGCAATTCAGTGCTTCTGTGACATGCCCAGAATCACCCAGCCAGTACATGGCCTAGGCAGGACTTGAGCCCAGCTCTTCATCCAGTACATCATGCTGCCTCACATAACTAGCGCTTACAAAATGGGTGTCCTCTAAGGCTCCGTCCTTAGCCTTCTCTTCTCTATACTTTTTTTCTTGGTGACTTTATCCATTCCCATAAGTTCAGATCATCCCTGTGCAGATGACTCTATGTCCAGCCCAATTTCCTCCCTTCGCATCAATTCCACATCTCTTCCTATCGGACACATACCCAGATATCCTATTGGCTCCTCCAACTCAGAAGGTCCAAAACTGAACTCATCACCTTCTTTAAACCTGGACCTCTCCCTAGCCTCCTATTTCTACTGATGCCACTGGCAACCTTGTAGTCAACCAAGCTCTGAACTGTGGAATCTTCTGACTTTTACATCCTCACTTCCCACATCCTGTCATCTGCCAATTCTTATCAATTCTACTTTAATCAGTCAATCACTGAATACTTAATAAGCACCAATAGGCCAAGCACCCAGGACACAGTCATAAGTGAATGCTTCTCTCCTCAAGCAGCACACATTCTTTTCTTGGAAGGGGAACAAGGGAGTAGGAGACCCTATCACAGCTACAGAGATCAGGAAAGGCATTCCCTTTCCTCTGTCTTTCCTACAGTTCACGTGTCCCTTTTTACATAGCTGCCACTCTATGCTGAAGCCCTCCTCCCTTCCTGTTCAGACAACTGACAGAGCTTCCTAACTAGCCAGACTTTCACACAGTTGCCAAGACAATCCTGCTGGAGTGTCTAGGTGTCCTCTGCTCAAAACCCTTCCATTAGTACTCACCAGCCTACAGGTTGAAGCACAAACTCCTTGGCCCAACATGAAGATCTTCTGTCATCTGGCCCTAACCTACCTTTCCAGCCTTATTTTACATTGCTCCCCTTCATACGTTTCATGTTTTGGCCCAGATGGACTTAACAGTTTTCCCCCAAACTTACTCTTTTCTCTTCAGCCTCTGCACATTTATAAGTCATCCTCCATAATCAAAATGCATTTTCTCCTCATCTCTGACTGCTGAAATTCTCTTTCTTCAAAGACTTACCTATGTACTTTTTTTTAATGAAGTTTTCCCTGATCCAGACCTCCCCTCACATAAAATCCCAGCAAAAAAGTGTTCTCTCCAGCATATTCTAGTAACAGCAGCTAGCATTTATATGGCACCTTAAGGTTTACAAAATGTTTTACATACATTATCTCACATGATCCTCACAACCACTCTATATATCAGGGTGCTATTATTATCCCCATTTTATAGAAGAAGAAACTGTACACATAGAGAGAGGTTAAGTGACTTGCCCGCGGTCACACAGCTAAGTAAGTGTCTGTGGCAGGATCTGAACTCAAGTCTTCATGATGTCAAATCCGACCCCTGATCCACTACAGCAGTCAGCTGCCTATTAGAATAATTTGTGTTGATGTGCCGTCTCCCCTTAATAGATCAGAAGTTCCCTGAAATCAAGAGCTGATTCATTTTTTATTTCTGTTTTCTCTCTGTCTAGGATGGGACTTTGCACATAGCATGTACCTAACAACACTTTTTGACTAATTGGAATATCACTGCATCAGCAAAATACACAAAACACTACCATATGGAGCAATTATTCAAGTCACGGTACAAATTTCTGTCCTTTTTCAAATTCAATGAAGACTTTGTTGACAAGTTTTATTTCCTCTCCTTGGAATTATAAAGGTTTAAATTAAAAATAACTAAGTGGGATCATATGATCACAGAGTTAGAGCTAGAATATAGATCTGATCCAACACTTGGATTTTATAAGGAAATAAGGTCTAGGAGTCACTCACACTTTGTGAACCAAACTATGCTTGTTACCTATGCTGCTGAGGTTAAATAACATACACTATGATGGGCTTGCAGGCTTTAAAGGCCAAAGTCGTAAGGACTTCCCCGTTACAAACAAGACCAAGATACTTACTGGATCCGTCAGCATAGCCCGGAAGTGAGAAGCCAGAGCCAGGAAAGCAAGACTGTTGAATACTACTCCATTGACTGCACTATAAATATAGTTTCTTGATGGAATCAGCATGACGAAGAGGACCACAAAATCTGCATATATGACCAGGAGCCAGGTGATGACAGCACATGCAATACCACAGCCATCTCGGATAAACCACATGGTTCCTAGAGAACCTGGGCGAGGAGGAGGGATACACTTCTCTGGGTGGAGGTATTCAGGTTTCCTCTCAATATCTCTGAAGCGGTGGACCGGAGAAAACATCATAGGCTTTTATGTCCATACTTGCATCTGAAAGAGAAAAAAGAGAACATGAACCCAACCTCCAGTTCTGGATTACCAACAGCCTGGTGGACATTTCAAACTGGATGTCCTGGAGGAATCTCAAATTCAATACTTCCAAAACAGAGCTCCCTATCTTTCTTCCCAAACCCCACCCTTCTGAACATTCCCATTTCTCTCAAGGGTTCTACCAGCTTTCCGGTCATCCAGGTGTGTAACCCTGTCATCATCCTGAACTTCTCACTCCCCCTTACCACCACCATATACAAGCAGTTGCTATGTACCTCACAACATATAGCCTGCGTACATCCTTTTCTTTCCAATTACATGGCGTTCATCACCTCTTACATCCTCATTGGGCCCCCTCAAATCTCTCCCCCTTCTCTGATCTATCTTCCACACAGCTACTGAAGGGATTTTCCTAAAGCACGAATCTGATGACTATGACACTCTCCTGATCAAGAAACTGCGGTTGCTCTAGGGTCAAACAAAACTCCCTGGCTTAACACTGCTCGCATTTAAAGCCCTTTATAACCAGGCGCCAGTCTAACTTACCAACTTTATTATGCTTTAATCCTCCTCATGCATACACTCTTCAATCTAGCCAAACTGGCATGCTTGTAGTCCCTCACCCATAGATTTCATGTCATACTTCTGTTTCTGCATAGGCTGATCTGTCCAGTGGGCCTGACATTCATTTCCTCTTCATTTATGCATCTTAGAGCCTCTCATCATTTCCTTTAAAGCTCCACCTAAGAGCCACCTCCTGCATGAAGCTGTTCCTCATTACCCATCACCCCTAGCTACTGATGCCTTTGCGTGAAAGTATTCTGCATCTATTTGTACATGCTATTTCCCATAACAGATTTAAGCTCCTTTTGGCAACAACTATTTCATTTCTGCCTTTCAATTCCCCTTACTTAACAAAGTGCCTGTCACAAAGTAGGCACTTAATAATCACTTATAGATAAGCCATGTCATCTTATAAAGGAAATAAGGAAAGACCACCTTTTCAAAAACCATGTAAGTGGGTCCATTTCTTACCATGCAGAAAAAATAAGCCCAAATGCCTTTTCTACTAATGTAGTTATGATACCTCCACTTTACTCTTTAAAAGGCGTTAGAACCTGTCACCTTCACATCTTGATTTTTATTGGCTACCTGTTATATAAAAGATGACTGCCATTTGTCAAAATATTTTGGAGATACTTTGTTTCCCAGAGCTAAGGCCCAGCAAGCAGGCCTGGGCCCTGAGCTAGACATAACACTAATCCTTTGGCCTCTGCTTGGACCAGTATCAGGTGCTCATTGAGGGACTTAGCTCCCCCCATTTCCCAGGGTCATCCATCACATGTTCATAATTCCTGCTCCTTGTAACTTCCAGGTAACTGCACTCCTGTTCCAGTCATAGAACTCTGATTCTTTACCCCGTGGAGTACTCATGACCCCGAAGACTTCAGACAATAACCATTCCCAGGAGACCCAAGAACATCTGTATTGTCCCAAGAAATGCCAACCATGAGAGAACTGTCTCAAGACCCCAGAATGATCTTGTTGTATTCCAACTCCTTTCATGTATGTAAATGGCCCTAGAATCAGCAGCGTTAAGCCCTCCTTACGAGGGGGGCTTCCATTTGCAATTGCTATTTTACTCACTGTGGAATTAGTTATATTTCTGATTGTGTCATGATTCTCCTGTCTCTAGCATGCTTTGTACAACTCCAGCCACCCACAGGTTAGAGGCTGGTTCAAAACTACATTAGAAAGGCAAGCTCTAATCCCTACAGGGACTCATAGTTTTATCACACATGAACACAGCTTTGATAAGACAGAGGCAAATGTGTAACAAACACAGAACAAAAAGGTTACATATTTTGATGTGTATGTATTTTTTTCTCCTTCTTGATACATTAAGAGAGAAAGAGGCTCAGAAGGTTTGGCAGGAAAGAAAGAAGCATTTATCCAAAATGACCCTGTATTTATTTTGTATCCATATAATATAGATCGATTTAGGTACAATGTAAGCCCCTGGAGGGCACAGACTATTTCATTCTCGTCTTTGTATCATCAGCACCTAACAGTGTCTCACGCATAATAGGCACTTCATAAATTCTTGTTGACTATTTGATTACCCAGTAGCACAGTTAATTTCAGTCATGACCTAAATTGTAAACACTACAGAGGAAAAGTGGCCACTTACAACTAGGGTAGAGTTCTTGAATGAGCCTTATAATTCAGGCCTCTAAATGGGCCCAAACTTCCAAGGACAAGAGTCCTTCTATGAGTCTAATAATAAAGCTTATGTTTATGGAGCTCTTTATGGTTACATTATCTTATTTGATTCAAACAAAGTGCCAGGCAAAGTGCCCTGAGAACAAGAGCATTTAATGTCTGTTGAACTTAATTGGGCAATCCTTCCGGACAGTTAGTACAAATACCCTCAGCCCCACTTGATGGTGAAGAAACAGGCTCACAGATGAGAAGGTGACTTGAAAAGGCCACACAGCTAGGTAAAGGCAGAGCTGCAACTCCAACTCAGGTCTTTGGATGTCAGGTCAAGTATTTTTTTCACCACAGCATCACCAGTCAGAATTCTTGGGTAGAAAGCTTGTGCACCACAAGTTTAATGTCAGTTGTGTGCATTTGTGGAAGAAACCGTCACCGTAGCATATGCCAGGGAAATGATGATCAGCTGACAACAGAAATCACAACATGCAGGCTATGGATGAATCACCCCAAAACAGCAAGGCCAATTTATATTTTCCCACAGACCTTTCTTCTAAGGAAGTTTTACGGTTGTAATTTTAAAGACTGTGGAGTTCAAAGATTAGATGGCTCAAAATACAAGCATTTCCCAGGTTACCCTGTTTGCCTCAGTTTCCTCCTATGTAAAATAAGCTGGAGAAGGAAACAGCAAATCATTCCAGCATCTTTGCCAAGAAAACCCCAAACGGGGTCATGGAGAGTCAGATACCACTAACAACCATAAAATGTTAACTGTTTGATTACCCTGTAGCACAGTTAATTTCAGTCATGACCTAAATTGTAAACCCCATAGAAGAAAAGTGGCCACTTAGAACTAGGGTAGAGTTCTTGAATGAGCCTTATGATTCAAATCTATATATGGACCCAAATGGTAGCACTTCCAAGGATGAGACCCTGTGGAAATGAGGGGAGAAAATACATCGGAAAACCCAACCCAGGCAGAAGAGAAGAGAAACACCAAAGCCTTATAGATTGACTATAAGTTTTAATTGTGTATTGTAAACTTTCTTCAAGGAGAGAGCTGAAGAGTTGGACAAGGCAAGCAACAAGAAATAATCGCAAAAAGGGAAACTGAATATATTTTCACAGATAATTGTTTACCAATCTTAGCTCTTCCTGATCTGCTGTCTGTATAAAAATCAGACCAATGATTTGCTAGATCTTTTGCCCAAAATCAGTATCAAATTAGAAGAATTAAAAATGGAAAGATATGCTAGGCAACCGAAGTAACTCAAAACTGACCTTTTGTTGCTTCCATCTAAAAATGGAAAATAGATAAAAGAATAGACTTCAACGAACTATCACCACTTCCTAAACATCTGAATCACTGTTACAATGATAAGTTATAATATAGTAATGCCCCAAAAGGGCCACCAATATACATAGGGCATTTAAATTTTCATTTATTTTGTATTTATTAATATGTGCATCGTCTCTAACTATATAAAGTAAGCTTTAATTTGTCCCTGTACTAAATAAATAACCCAAGATTGCTGTGCTTTCCTAATTCATATCTGCTTTACTGAAGCTCATCTTGGCTATCAGTTTTCACTACTTTCACTTTTCCACCTGTCTCTCAGGAGACCCTTCTATCAAGCCTTCCATCCTAGCCCCAACAGGCTGCTTATCTGCCATGCCCTGAGAAACCAGATAACTTATTTGAATTTAAATTATTTTAAAGGTACTTAATTTAAGTCAATAAGTAGCCTCTAAGTGAGGGCCTGAGATCTCTCTATAGAGTAAGGTACATGAACTTTGTGGCAGATGTTTCTACTTCTCAGACGTCTTTTTCAGTGATTTCTGAATTTCCGTTAATATTTACGAGGGCTAAGGTTCCTTCGAAGTATGACCTCTAGATAACTTTACCATACTCAATTAAGTACAAACGTCTTCTATCCTAACTATGCTGAAAAGCTATCAAAAATTTTCCAGAATCTTACAAATGAATCAGAACCTGAATGGGTATTGCTGGCTTGAGTGTTTGGATTTAAGAGTATGCTTTCATGTACAAACATGTAATTAGAGGCAAAAACCCAAACTACAGTAATTTAAAGATTAACATTACATGCCGAATTGAAAAGCAGCATAACTCATGTTTTAGTTTAAAAAATAATTCAAACTAAAACTAGATAATTGAGATGATTAAAAAAAAATACTTAAAGGTTACTTAGCTGAATATCTGAACAAACGAGTTAGGTAACAAAAGCCTACTTCTAACAAAAACATACCAGCCCTCCTCCACAATAATTGTTATTTTTAAAAGTAGGAATAATTTCTCTCCACTACAATTTGAGAAATTCAGCACTGCATTGCAATGCTACATATACCTAAATAGGGACTCAATAAATAGTCAATAGCTAGAAAGAAGAGAGCTGGAAAGCAGCAAAATCCAATGAAGCAGGTCACTCTATGTCACTGACCAACAGAAGAAAGAAGAGAATGCTGCATATATGCGGGCTATAAGCCAGTCACTCAAGGTCGGGGCGGGGAAACCACCCCTTCTTCCTTAGTCTCCATCTCCTTCACCAACTCTACCCTCCTCTCCCTGGCACTGCCCATTTCTTTTTTGTCATCTGCTCACTTCTTCCATTCAAATGTCCATTTTGTTGTGCTGAGCTTTCCACTGTTAATGGTTGGCCATCAGATTCCCAGGTGAGACAAGATGAGGGCAAGTATTACGACGGAATGTTACAGTTACTTAACATCATGCAGTCATTTATGCCCATTTCAAAAACTTGCTACTCCTCCTCAGAATAGCCTCCCTTACCAGGTACCCTCTGTACCCACTCAACAAACGAGCACAGTGAGGCACAGAGAAGTGAATGATCTGCCTGTCCCTAGGTCACGCGGGAGTCCCTGATGGAAGAAGACAAGAAAATACAAACTCTTAGGCCACAAATTTCCCAAAGGCTGCCACTAACAACAACAAGAAAGAAATAAAATGTTTTACCATGGTTCTCTGACCTCTGTGCAAGCGTTGGAAATGTAATTTGGTTTTTACTTTCTGAATTTTAGAAGAGAAAATGAAGAAGTGAAACCAAAGAGCTAATTTTATTATTATTTTTTTTAACCAGCTGTGTACTGGGCCAAAAATAGCTTCACTAAATTCACATATAATTCATGTGCTAACCAAAGCATACACTTTTATTTGAACACACCCACACATGGATATATTTATCCATACAGATTTGTCTCATCTGTATTATTTCACACTCCCAAACTGAATTCATTATCCCCCTCCCCTCTTTCAAAATGCCTTCTTACTATCAAGGGCACCACCATCCTCTCACTTACCCAGGTTCAAAACCCAGGTATCATATTCAACTTTTCATTCTGACTCCCCATAAACACTCTCTTCTGAAGGCCTGATTTCCACTTTCATAACATCTCTCCCCCCCTTCTCTGACACTGCACACCCTCATCACCTCCTGCCTGGAATAACTGGTCTCTCTACCATGAGTCTCTCCCCACTCCCATGGTTTTCCTAAAGCACAAGTCTGATCACAACACCTCCCTAATTCATAAACTCCAATGACTCCCTATCACCTCGAAGATCAAATGCAGAGTTCTCTGTTTAGCATGCCCTGCCCTTTCCAGTATTCTTAAACCTCACACCCCAATACCTACCCTTCAATCTAGTAACAACAGTGGCCTCCTAGTTCTTCTTCGAACAAGATACTCCCATCTCCTTACTCCAGACATTTTCATGGGCGGTTCCCTACTATTAGAATATTCTCCTCCATTCCCTTACACCTTCTGGCTTCCTTGGCCTCCTTTCAATCCCAGCTAAGATCCCACCTGCTACAGGATGCCTCTCCTGAGCCCTCTTAATTCTAGTGCCTTCCCTACATTGGTTATTTCCAACTTACCCTTGCATATAGTTTGTATGTACATATGATCTGCATATTGTTTCCCCCATTAGATTGTGACCTCCTCCAGAGCACGGACTATCTTTTGCCTTTCTTTGTATCCCCAGCATTTAGCACAATGCCTAGAACATAGTGGGTACTTAATAAATGTTTGCTGACTGACATTTTGGCTAGTTGCTCACATCATTTACTACCACCATATTCATTTAATTTTGTGTTGAGCCTTACAATTTATAATTTGGGTTAACTTACTTGGTTTGAAAGTAGTGCCAAGTTCATGGGTTCAATTTTTATAGGGACCAATGAGTTTCAATGGTCCATTTCACTCCTGTCAAACACAAGCTACTGGTAACAGGTAGAATTTAGCTGGGGACACATGACAGACTATAAAAGTATAGACCACCTCCAAATACTAATGGGGTCAAAAGGGTCATTCTTATAGTAAAATCAAGTTATGTAAATGGAATTATAACCTCAAAATTATTTTTTTCTTAAAATGTAATAATTCTACCACTGACAATGGAGTTGAACAGACTGGTACTGAGTATCCATCTTCACCCAAGAAGATCCAGAAAACGACAAGACTTAGAGTGACAAGAGATATAAATAATATTCTTCATCCAATCTCTTCTATTTTATGGAAAGGGGAACAGAAGCCCAGAGACTGCATCACAGTCCTGTATCACAAAGGATATGGTACAGACACAATCAGAAGTTTCTTAAATAGTATTTTGAGATTCATACTGGCTTCAAAATCTTTTTAAAATACCTTGCTCTTCTTTACTTCTTTATAGTATACACATATAGTCTCTGTCTGTCTTTCACACATACACTTTAAAAGCACTGACATATGACAAAGGAAACAAGTAACTGAGGCCTGTGTAAACAAACCAGCTTTAATGGGCTTGAGAACAGATGAGATAATTTTTCCTAAGGACAACAACAAAAACTATACCATGATCTTAAGACTTTAGGAAAGCAGGAAGCAACCTGCAGAGACTTTCAATCAATCATCCAAATTTTCTCTTGAAGTCTAAACTAGAGGACCTCTAAATTGGGGGCAAGCGTCCGGACCACTACCAAACACAATGTGTTCCAATAGGATTTATATTCTTAGAAATAAGCATGAACTACCCAATCAAAACCTGAATATATCCTAATTCCTTTGCAGGCTCCAT